CCCGTATGCCTGCATTCATACTGTCCTCATGCATACAAGCATGCGCGCATACATTTACATACCACTGCACGCATCGGCAGTATGTATAATACAAACTGTACATCTACATTAGTATGTATGGGTGGAAACTGCAGGGATGGATGGATCAGGCAATTCGCGGCTAGGTGAATGGATGCAGATACGTGTGTCCGTCTGTCTGTCTGCCTGCCCGCTCGGTCTGTCTCTGTCTATATCTCTAGCTTTGACTTTGCCTTCGATTCTCTGCCGGTATGTCCGTCTATCAGTCCGGCCGCCTGTGTGTCTTTCTGTGTTGACGGTCTGTGCCGTCGTGGACATGTACGTGTGCCAGCAAGCATGGTCCGTCTGTCTGTCTGTCGGTCGGTCCGTGACTGCTTGTGATGTATATGTGCTTGCCATGCTTGTATGCAAGTGCAGTACGCATGCATGTGCACGCATGTACGAATCTTAGTTGCTGAGTCTTTTTGAAGCAGGGCTCTACAGCTATGCGCTGAGTTCATAAGCCCAAAAGTGTACGCTGCTAGTTTTATAATGGAGAATACTATCCCCAAACATCTAAAGAGCACGCGCTCAGCTACTAAGGAACATATGCTTGCTTTCATGAGTTGTGGGCACAAAAGCTTGGAGTGAGTATGCATACGAACAAGTATGTGCAAGTCAGACGGCGGGAGACATCGTGAGGCGATGCTGCCACGCAACACAAACATATCCAAAATGAGTGCCTCCTCGCCCGGAGGTGCAAGCAGCTCTGCAAGAAGTTCGCCTCGCATTGTCTGAAGGGAACATCGACAGTCAGGCGTGATTGTCTTTTGATTCGTGCTTTTGAACCCGAAAGCCGAGGGCCCCTACCCCATAGAGGCCCGCCTTTCTGCGACGTCTCAAATCCACGCAAATATTTTCTGTAGTCGTACATGTCTACCCTTCGGTAGGAGATGTTCATCTTACAGCTCCTGGATGGTGCCTTGTCAGGACAGCTCCTGCTCGTAGGTCGCCCATGCTAGAACCCGCCTCATCACATCGACTGTACCCAGCGTTGAATGCTTGCAAATAATAGTGTTTTGCGCTATCTTATCGTATATGTAGTTGTTAAGGCTAAGGAACCCGCAGGAACGACGGCTATGGAGCAAACCTAGGCTACGTAAAGAAGCCCTGAACGTCACATAGGACCCTTATATCCTTATAGTATCCTTGATAAAGGACTCCTTTAAAGGAACCCTAGACCCAAAAGCGCTGAACGGCTACGGAGCAGGCCTGGGGTGCCCTTGCCCAGACGCAGCTGCTCTGCTAGGGCCTGGTTGCCCTCGACGATCTGACAAAGCAGCTCATGATCTCATTTGCCCAACCTAAGAGGGCCCTCTCCTCGTCAACAATCCTAAGAAGGCGCCTTTGGGCCCCGGAGAACCACTATTCACTATTCTTGCGGCACTTCAGACTCATGCTTCGCTAACCTCGCTGGCACAACATGCCCCCTTGTTGGCCAGTGTGACTACTACAATGTGAGAGGCCTACAGTCCACTCCGAACACTACCCCTGCTGCTGGATCATCTGGTGGCCGGGGGCTGCTCGGGCTCATGATTCGATTGATCCCTCCATCAATTGGTCGTGGATGTTTTCGGGCAGTGGTTACAAATCGAAATAGGAGTTCGGTGAGTTGGGGTGATGGCCTGCATGAGAGTTAATACGAATACGTACTACTCGCATTCTTAGTGTGCATGAAAACATGCTATTTCACTCTGGGGCTACCTCACAGCTCAGCAGTCACAAAGGGTCAATATACGGGCTTTGTCTGAGTAGAACCGGGTGCTGGTGTATAGTGTCGTAAGATTGTAGAGGACTATACAGGAACATTAGTGCTATACATTCCGCCCCATATATATATATATATATGTATATCAGAATTCGGGCGCCTCAATAATATAGTGGTCTGACTGATTACAACAAGTCTTAGGGTATATGATTGGATGGTAAAGTTGCGGTTGCGGATCCCCAAGGACTAGTATTAGTAATTATTGAAACTTCTAAACAATAATGCAGGGGCCTTTGGGGTATACTATACGATAGTTATAATAAAGAAACCCCAAAGTAGTATAGGTCATTATGAAGGCCCCTACCCATAGGCCCCATAGTAGTTCCTTTTTGGGGATTACCTTCTAGGATTCTAAATATGAACCCCCCAAAAAGGAACTACTATGGGGCCTATGGGTATATTACCCTGAACCCCAACAGACCTATAGTCTCCATTGTAGTTCCTTTTTGGGGATACCTTATAAACCTGAATATATGGGTGTTTCCGAAAATAGGGACCCTAATATAGTACCCTAAATAGTAGGATCCCTATTATAAAGACCCCAAAATTAAGGCACCCCCTGTTTCCGGAAACTCCCATATATAATTGGTTAAACCAAAACCAAAGGTTAACCCGGCCTTGCCCATCCCATCCGCAATGCCCTGCCGCCGCAGAGGGGAGGAGGCTTCCGAGTGCTCGCACCCCGAGGATGAGGGCTTCAGAAAACAGGAAGTTCCATTGTATGGGCATCTAGATGTATGTATATAAGTACATATATATATATATGTATAAACAACTACATATACTATATACATATGTAGACTATGTAACTATAGATGTATATAGTAAACTATGTAACTATATATTTATGTATGTATGTATATATATATATATATGATGCATATATCTCTTCTCTTGTCTCTGTTTATCTCTGTGTGTATCTATGCACATATATATATATATATATATATAAATAATGCATGGCTGGCTCCAGCCTCTAGAGCAAACTGCAAAAAGCTGGGACATCATGATCCTTACGCCCTTTAAGCCGAAACAAATGCTGGATTTCTCCTGCGTCCATGTTCCGGCTTGCTGGGGTTCACTGTAAATCTCGCACAAAAGCCACCCCGAACGAACAATCTTTCATTGGTTTGCGGAAATCAGAAAGGGTCTTACGGGGCCGAACCCTAAACTCCTGAACCCTAGGGCCCTAGACCTACAGAGGTCCGCAATCACATCGGATCCCGCCGCCAGAAGGCAGACGAGACCCGACTGGAAGCCTTCAGCTCGTGCAGATAAGAGGTTTAACACAAGAAATGCGATCTACCTACATATGTGTCTATATTTGTCTGGCTGTAAATACGTGCAACTTACGTGCACATATACTTCATATTATATATATATATATATATTATTTATTTGTCAACGAGAACATATCAAAACCCAAGTAGCAGCCAACCCTACAACAAGCACACGTAGATCAGGTATCCGTTTTCATACGACATTCGCAGATCGAGTCGCGGTCGGGCCTGATATGATAATTTTAGAATCCGGTTTTGACACAATTTGTAGTATACTTAAAAGAGGACTGTAAGGGGGCACTACTCCACCTTCTTCCGACATTCCCGCTAGGGTCCCTTCCACATGAGTCTACATCCCGGGTGCTCACTGTGTGCCTCTCACCTCTTTGTAGTCATCGCTCGGCCACTTCGGCTTCAGAAACCCCTGGGTTTACTGTACATAATGTAGGGGCCTTAATAATTAGAATACGGTTTCGGGGGCTCCGTATGGAAGTCATAATACAACATGCCGCCAAACCCTATTCTATTTTATTAAGGCCCCTATATTATGACGAGGATTCGCATGGTTTGCCCAGCCTTTGCTTTCAGGTAAAGCGTCGTGAGCGGCGTGCGCAGGATTTCAGGGATGTCGTACCTCACATAGAATGAGGGTCCCCAAGTTATCAGGGTGCGCGAGGAGTGCTCGGAAAAGTCCCAACAAGACCAGCCCGAGGTAGATCAGTCCTCTTGGAGGACTTCTGGATTTCAATTTGAAAGATGTCCCGCAGCACTTGCAGCTTGAGGCGATGCTACGCACTAGCTTTGATTCGTAAAGAGGAGTTCTCGGGACGCTACTTGAACGAAGTACTGCCCGGAAGCAAAATCCCCAGTTGTCGCTTACTACTGCGTCATGCTGCTTTTTGTTGCCATGCATCCAGTCCGAAGGCCCCCTTCTATACAACAGAGCCACGAACTATCAACCACTCAGACGCGGAGAGCGGGTGCATCGAGCTGTGCTACTGGGCTCCGTATGGTGGATCATGACTCTGACAGCAATTATTGAATGATTAGGTGTTGATACTCTCAAGAGGTCCTATGTACTGCTTCTGCATTTCAACATGTGCCTTTGCAATTGAAACGACGGATTGCCAGTGAAACCGGTGTTGCTCACAGTTGCTGCTGACGGGCAGCAGCATTCCTGGCAAGTAGAAGTCGCTGCTTGGCTTCTGCATCTCCCGAGGAACTGGTGGGCAGGATGGTAAGTCACAGCTGATGGTGGCACTTGGGGGGGCCTGAAAGGTTCGCACGGGTTTGTAGCCAAGATTTCAGCAACAGGACATCCGCAAGACTGGGCTGGAACAGGGGAAAGATGCACGGCTTGTTTTCATACGACTTGAGCGCGCACGGTCTTGGATAGCCTCAGCGCGCGCGTGTGTACTACAGTATCGACAAGGGTCGCAAGCCACGTGATGCCAGCCATTTGCGGCAGTGCCGGGCGGAACGAACACTTGTGGCATGCCTGTTGTACACACAGTAAGCTCTAGGACCCCAAAAAGTAAGCAGCCAAAGAACATGTTCCGAGGCCTAGCTCACTTACGAGAACCTCTTGAAGGCGCAGACTGCAGACTCTGTGCCTTGCAGTGCCGGGCAGATGTCTGCTCCTCTGCCAGATGCGGCTCCAAGCATCTGGGCATACATTGACACTTTCAACCTCTGGGAAGCTGGCCCTTGGCTCCCTTTAAGGTCTCATGCTGCCGTTACCAGGCAGCTGCCCCGGGCCAGGGCAAGGCTGGCTTTGGTCTGGGATCCTAAGAACAGGCGGCTTCGTGCCGCCCTTTCCGGGCTTTTCAGCTTCGAAACACAAAGGCGTGGCCCTCCATGCTGCCGGCAGCTTTGAAGATTTCCTGACCTAGCACCTAGGCACTCCAGGAATCAGGCCCCAATGAGTCAGAGCTGCCGGCCAGAAGATACCTCCGCACGCGGCCCTGCTCAAGTCTCGCCCGCTCATATTTGTCGAACTCACACAGCTGGAACTGCACGTCATGCCTGAGCAGCGACCATGATGGCCTCTAGCATGCCAATTCGTTATAATACCTTGCAAAACAACTATAATGGTAACACTGGGGTGTGCTGTAATAACTGCCCCTCCTCACCCGAAAAAACTGTTCTGAGAGAGCTGCAGGCCGTCATCACAAAGACTAATCGTGATTCATGGCCACACCTCATGTGCCGATTGGCGTTGAGCAAGAAATCGCAAGAGGTCTCGGACAACACCGGTCTGATCGGTTGGTTTTGCGAGACGGAGGGACATCCATTGAGACATGTGCCATCCATGGAACATCTAGCTCAAGGAACTGGAACTCATCAGACGGCAGCACGCAGTGAAGGCCAACACATCTATGCAGGCCGGTGACCCTGGGTCACAGGTGCCCTGATTCGTTCGAGGTGACGAAACGAGCTTGTCTGAGACCGCTGCACAAGAAATGCGTAGGTTCTGGGGGCCCTGGGAAATCATGCTCGCTCATACACAAGCATTCTTAAACGCACTCAAAAAATTGAACTAACCTTGTTACCCGGCAGCCTCCACCAATGACCCTACAGTACCCGCACTACAGCCATGTGAGAGTCCTGCTTAATGAACTCAAAATTCCAGTCTCAGCAATGCGAGAAGCATTTCAAACAAAATTGACCAGCATGGCTCATGACACCATAATCGGGCAAGGTCTGCGGTCCAAAACTGAAGACCACTCGTTCTTCAGAAGTACCTATAGAACTGCAGACCCTACAGTGTCGAAGATGTGCATGGCTGTCTGGCAAGACGCTAGCACATCTCTTTGGATCTAAAATCGCGAGCTTCAATTCTATACTAACAGGGGACTGCGCGACACCCACGCCCGAAAAAAAAAACTAAACACCTACAAATCTACCGGACTGGCCAACACAAGCCACGACAACGACGAAAGCAGCCGTCCAACATCAAGCAGAAGCGTAAGCAGCAACCTGCGATGACAGAAGAAGTCAGTATAGTTACCTACACACGACGAATTGAAAACAAGCGGCTTCGGTCAAAGCCAGTAACAGGAACTAAAGACAATGTTCTTCTTCGGAAAATGACGGCGGCAGCATTTGCAGCAGGACTACAAGTAGCAGGGGCAGAAGTCTTCGTCGAGCCACTGTGGTTAGTTGGAGCTGGTCATGGAAGAGAATGTCCACGACACCAGATACATTAAAAAAACACGAATGCTGCGACTCTGCATATTAACTTAAAAGGCAGCACCTCATCACTCACAAAGTATCTTCTTCAGCAACGCATTCACCAGCATCACCACATTGATAGCAAAGATATAGCTGAAACTCACGAAGGGCTGGTCATGCTATGAATGCCATCGAATAGGAGCAACGCACTCTCAGCGTTAACACTTTCATGCAGCATCAACCAGGAAGGTCCAAAAAACAACACAAAGAACCCGAATACGGTACTGATGTGTTGGTCCTTTCTGCTGCCCTTGCCTGGCTTCCCAAATGGCTATCCCCTTGTGCGGCTCAGGCACAGCATCAGTTCTCCAGCTGGGCTAAGGTCCTCCAAGACACCCCACAGCCGAGTTGGACATGTAGGTTTCCTGTTCTCATTGCTGGATCACCGGTACGATGCTGCAGGACCGATGCTGCGAAACAGCGGTGGAACAACCCTTCGAGCATGGCCAAGGTTGCTTTGCCGATGGCTTCTGCCGCAAAATCGATTCCACTAATCGGGCCTCACATGGAGTCATATGCAGCCTCCTAATGTCAATTAGAACTTGAAATTCAACAATGACCCTGAGTTTGAATAGTTGCATTGCAATCCTGCCGATCCCACAATGAAGGCCTAAGATGAACATTGGGTTCCGGGGGCAATGTAATTGAACTGTATCAGGACTCTAACGAGGTACTACTACGAACTTCTAGTAATCAACAGAAGAAGGGGCCATGGCATCCCAACGACTTACGGCTTCCTACCAACGCCTTCTAGGCTTTGGGGGGCACGGAGTGGCTGCCTCGATGAGATCCGACGGATTCCAGTGAGCCGTGCGCTGGGCATAAATCGCCAAGAGCCTACAGGGACTATGTGGACTAAACCCTAAACCCCTAAACCCATAGGATTTTAGGGGCCCCTAAACCCTAAACCAGTTTAGGGGCTTACAGGCTAGGGTTTAGGGGAGTCCGCCGTGTCGTTTGGGGGTTTGCCTTGGACACACCCTTCAGGGTCGAGTTCCGGCCTTCTTCTTCACGGCCGCTCGCTTTCTGTGCAAGTTTCGGGCTTCATTGATCTTGTAAACCTGATATCTTGCTATATTGTTAACAATGCTCTATCTACGACTTTTTGTTTGCAGTTTCGGCCTGGATGCCTCCATGCTCCGGGCCCAGAGCCCTCCGAAGCTTTCGAACTGAAGCCAACAGACCCCCTCCTAAGGTTCTAGAAGAAGCAGGAGTCGTGAGTAGGTGAGGTCTCGCGAGTTCCGGTGCTGTCCAGAATTCGTGGCTCCTGGCTGCCAGAATTCCGAATGCGTTCAGAGGAATCTCGGGCAGCTGATCTTTCTAAATAACTCCCACTGCCAACCAACATCCCATCAGCTTCAGCCATCTCACCATCGCGCGACCCCAACGCAAGTCTGACAACTCAACTTCAGGCAAGCAGCTCTTGGATAAACTTGTCCGAGACGGCCTTCGGGATTGCCAGGCAAAACGATCCTAAACCACACAAAGCTCGTAAACTGCTCATGACTTTGGGCACTCCGGGAGCGCTTCGCCTAACAGCCAGGAAGGAAATGCCGGTCTTCGACGGCACAAGGCATGGATAACATGCTCTTGCCGATCCATGCCTCGCCTGACTGTGGCTGTACGCGTGCGCATTCGTAGGCCTGGCAGGCGGTCGCAGGCCAGATCTATGTATATGTTTATGTGTAGTACGTACGTACGTACGTACGTATGCACGTAGGTATGTATGTCTGTATGTCTGTATGTCTGTATGTCTGTATGTCTGTATGTCTGTATGTATGTATGTATGTATGTATGTATGTATGTACGTATGTGTGTATGTACGTATGTGTGTATATTATGTATGTATATATATATATATATATAAATAAATAAAGTTATCTAGTTAGTGTGCCATGTATATGCCTGGATGGATGGACGGGTGGATGGATGGGTGGATGGAGGAGGGAGGGACGGACGGATGGATGGATGATGAATACATGATGAATGGACGGATGGATGTGGATATACGGGTGTTTATGTCAACGTAGTATGTGTCTGTATACGTATTGACATATGTAACGACTGTATATGAAAACCTTTGCACTCACACACTTATGCATATTATATATATATATATATGCTGTTGTGCGTCTTCTTGTGTGTGCAAGTGCATGTATGTATGTATGCATGCATGTATGTATGTATGTATTTGTTTAATATACACATATACACTGATACAAGCACATCTGTTTGTGTATAATACATATATATATATATACATATAAATTTGAATTTACATGTATCAACGGAGCCACAAATCAAGCCTGAAGCCTTCTCCAGATGAAAGAATACACCAGGTTGATCTTGGGGTGTAGTGGGCTCCACATGGTTCCAAACCCCAAACACCCGTGAAACCTCGAGGGGGTCTCTCTGCATCTGTGTGCTTATTTCCTGTATATTGTGACAAGGAGGTATACGGCCCAATGCCCTAAAGACCGACTCGTGCTTCGAGGCCTGCCGTGCAAGCGGTTGAGTCCACGGCGTGCGCCAGGCCCAACGGGGCACCAGCCATTCAGGTCCTCTTACGTCTTACGGTTCAGGTCCGCCCGGGAGTGGTCCCAAAAGCCGTGAGGACGTGCGGTGTAGAAGTATGGGAACTATAGTTGCCACATCGAAACCATACATATGATGCGGGACACCCATCAGTAGTCACTGTGAACCCATCCTGTAAAATGGGCCTGCTGCACAATCGGCACGTGTGGCTACCGACATTCGGACAAGGGAAACAGACACATCTGCTTTGCAACGCCAACAGAGGCTAACGATTTGCACGCCCGTCCTCGCATTGGCTTTCCTTTTCAAGTCGCAAGGTCAGTCACATGGGACGCGAAGCACACTTTCCGACGGAGGTTCCGTGGAGTGAAGCCAGCAAGCTGTGTGGGTGGATGTCTTCAGCCAGAACTTCAGCAGTGAACATCGCTAGAAAAAGGCTAGTGCTTGCTGTCGGGCATTATCATGCAGCCTACCAGATTGGGGTTTAGCTTGATGAATCTGCAGCTAGTCGGCAATGAAGGGTAAAGCAAGCGAAGGCCCGAAGCTTCAAGTTGTGCCCAAGCCACCCAGGTCTGCGAGGCTTCGCTCCAAGTGCAGAACAAGCACCTGGGCTGTGGAGCGGTCTGGGGTGTTGCGAGGCACTTGACTCAACATGCGAAGAGGGTTTAGGCACCTTTGCCGATTTTAATGTAATGGCAAACCAGTACCAGTACTATACTGACAACAACCACAAGAACTGCGACTGCTGTTGCTGCTACCTCTAGTGCCGGTGCCGGCGCAGCTGCTGATGTATGTGCTAGTAATCGTACACACACACACACTGATAAGCGAATTCAGTACGATCAGCACTAATTATCCCTACTCTGCAGAGAATCAAGCAAACAGAAAATGACGAAACGCTGCAGTGGCACGTCTGCAGCAGATCGGAGGTCAGCTCCTTGGCCACGAAGCCTGGGTGGTTGGCTTTATCTGTTTGTCCTGCAGAGCTTTGTACATCATCCTACGAATGCAGTATAGAATTTGCGCTCACCCAGGTTTTGTAGGCGGTGAGCGCCTTCAAGAGCCTGCCAACCCTGAACCCTTGGTCCAAGCAGCCGGTGCCGCCGAATTGCGGCACCCGCCTTGGCTCGCAGAACAGGTGATGGAAGCCATGGTTGCGAGGGTTTTGGGTGACCTGACAAACGATGGTAGATTCGAGGGGTGTCAGAGATTTGTGCGCATGACTTCCGGCTGCATGTGCCGTGAAGCATCCCGCAAAGCTAAAGCTCCAAAAGCACTCCACATCGTCACGACCTCGACTCTGCAATCCTGGAATCCTACGGGCACGAATTTCCTTTAGTATCCTTTAGTCGTATACTCTTGTACGGTCGGGGAATACATACCGGACAACCAAGTCGACCAGAACTCGCATTCTTGTCCAACCTGACCGAAACCCGCACTAATTTGCGGCCCGCTGCATGATGCTCTCGATCACTGCGCGCCAAGAGCGTGTTCGCTCGGCCTCGACACAGGAAAGCTTAGTAAAGCTGAGTATGTCTACGGTGCAAAACCCTGAACTATACGGTCCGCGATAGGGATGTACTATATAACATAAGATACATCAGGGTATAAACAACATGTGCATATGTAAATAACATTAAATAACTATCTATCTATCTATCTATCTATCTATCTATACATACATACATACATACATACATACATATTACATACATGCAGACATACATACATACATACATACATACATACATACATACATACATACATACATATACATGCATATATACATGCATATATAATAAACATATATATATATAGAGATATACATGTGTAACTATGTAACTATGTAACTGCATACAGTATGGTGAAGCGTTGCCAAGCCCCCGCCCCCACCCCCCACCCTTCCCCCGCGCCCATGTGCGGGCGTGGGTGGTTCTGGCTTGCCTCCCTCGCCGATTCGGATTCCGCCCTCTCGACATGTTCAGCAGTTGCGAAAATCGAACCCGTAGACCACCCATCCCTGTGGCTGTTAGCACTGTGGAACCCGCAGCTTCAAGAATTCCCAGTCCAATTCTGCGCCCGCCTCCAGACACCATGGGCGGGGTGTCACTGACAAAATCGTGTGGGGACTCCTTCCCGGCTATGTACTCGAAAGACAACACACACACACACACACACATCTGATGCTCAAAGCCCGACGCCCGAGCTGGAAACATGACAGCAATGTCGCTTTATCCACCGCGAGCGTTCCAAACAAGTGATCCGCAGCGAATGCCACTAGCCCATCTTGCTATCGACCTGTCCGCACAAGCCTGGGTTGACATACCTCCTGAACCTGTCCAAACGCCGATTCACCGCGGGGGAAGAGCACGAGAAAGAGAGAGAGCTTTCAGGATATGTGATAATATGAGGCTTCAGGATTCGGGGCAGCCCAGGTTCCCACTTCCGGCCTCCAGGGCGATCTGAAAGCGATGATCCCAAAGGCCTGCAACATTTCAGGTATTTGTCAAGAAGAGGCGCCATCAGCTCGACATAGCATGACATAGCTTAGGTATGAAAAAGAGAACGCTGGTCCCAGATTTTCTGTTTCACATGGAGCCTCAATGACCGAAAGAGAGTCACGTGGGTATTAGCACTCACATGCTGTCACTAATCTGGAAACATTGCTGTTCGGGCATGGAACAGGATACAGCGTCGGTCATCCCGTGGTCATCCCCATGAGCCGACTGCATGCTAATTGCTTGCGTTGCGCACGCGCTCACGTGCGTGCACGATTGCTTGTTTTTGTTTTGTTTCCCGCACGAAATACAAGCTTATTCACCCCCATCAGCATAGCGCCGAACTCAAAGTGTGATATGTTCTTACACTACCCTAGAAATTTTTCTGATCTTACTGAGGCTGTGGAAAGCTACAGGCCCGGAATTGTGAATTTGATCTTCTCAACCAGACAGAAGCTGGCGCCCGATATCTTCGCTATAGATGTGCAGCGATTCGTTCCGACCTTGCCAGACTGCGTGACATAGTGTCAAGGCCTGATTCGATCCCTAAGATGGACGGCACTACTTGTCACTGAAATCGCACAGCAGCAGGTGTGGTCTCTCATACGAGGGAGCTGCTTCTGCGTGCCTCGCAGCTGCTTGCACGTGCGTCGCACGAGGCGCTCCAAAAACACCTTTCGTGGAGCGATCGCTACACACGTGTTGCCACGGGCAATTGCACACAGGCTGGGGAATGGCAAACAAAGGACAGGAAAGCAGAAACATGTGGGAGGACACACGGATGGACAAATGGTGCAAAGGCCGACAAACGGCTAAGCAAAGGGATCGACAGAGAAGGCTGGCCAAACTGTTTAGTGGTGGAGCGGCGCACTGGTAATACGAAAAAGTTCATATGAGCAGCTCAGCTAAACGATACGAAGTTCAGGTCAAGAGGAAGCTGAGTTGAGCTCAGCTAAACCAATCTGGGGATAGGGGTAGGTGAGGTGAGGTAGGGAAGAGTAGGGTAAGGAAGAGGTAAAGGTATGAAGGCCACGGGAACCGGTGAAGGTAACTAACTTAAAGGTGACATACGGTAAGACAAGATAGAAATACAGCTCACAGACACGCTAGTCAGATCTCTACACTAAGCTGGGCATGCTGTGCCAAGGCTGCTTGCGAGACACGTCTCCATAACATCAAGAAGGCCACTACTCTAGGTGGCCTATATTTTTTACGGAACATCTTAACTCGTAACCGTGGCAACCCTAAACCCTAAATCCCTGAACCCTAAACCCTATCGAGGAGACGACGGTAATGGCACCTGTGATAGCAGCAGCGGCAGCATCAATTTGCAGCGGCTCGAGGAGTAGGAGGAGGACATTATAGCTTGTTCCGGTGCATAAAATAACCTTAAATTATTTCAACAGTAAGGTCTAGCACGTCTAGTAATATTAGGTTATCGTCGTGGGCGAGACGACAGGAAAACATACAAATACACACAGCTTCATGCGATTCGGTGTGATGCAACACAGGGAATGCCTGAACTCATGAAGCATCACGTTGCGATTCTTCTTGTCAGTCCAAGTAAGTATAGTGACTAGGATACAGTGATACTTACTGTCCGCTGCCACCTACCAAAGTATACCTGCCACCACTACCCCTTGCAGAAGACACACAGTGCTCCAAACCCTTAGCCGAAACTTGATCCTCGATGCCTCGGCTGACACACGCGGGCCACGGCGAGCCGCCGTTTCAAGACGCCGGAGGGCCCGCGAAGGGCAGTAGGCCTCCCGAATTTCTGGACAATAAGTATATACTCATAATGACAATCTGACCACTATTAATACTATTCACATCTATGTTCACTTTGAGAGCATGTGGCTGTGACATGTGGGGTTCTCGAACTTGGACCCCCAAGACGAGGAAAGGGAGCAGCTTCAACCTCAAAGCATCACCTTGCTGCGCGGCCAGTGCCTGACTGGGGTCCCTAAGATGAAGGAGTACACACATCATTCTGCCACAGGCCTCGATCGCCCGGAAAAGCCGCCGTTACGCAGCACTCATGATTTCAATCTCCCCACATGTCTGTCATAGCAAGCCTGAACCAAAAACAATCCCCGGCCCCAGAAACCCCAAACCTCAATGCCCCCTCAGGGCATCCATTTAGGATGAACGCAAATTGTTTGTTCCACACTGCTTGGGGAACCACAACGAACCCGCGGCAAAGCCGAGAGACTGCATCATGCTACTTAAAACAACGAGGAGACAAATGAGGACAACTTTATCATCACGTGCAGCGCAGGACTTTCATGCTGGTCAACTAGAATCGATTTTGGCCTCTGTGAAAACAGCACGCTGACTCTGCCAGCAGCGGCGTGCAGCACAAAGCGCAGCATCAAAGATGCGGCTGTCCTCAATGCATTCGCGAAGTCTTGGGCGGCAAGGATTCCTATAGGACGTTTGTTGAAGCTGTCTAAAGGCTCAACATTGTATCCAAGATTCAGGAGGATACTGACATCGTGAGTAACAACGACAGGGCAAGATGTGCAGCACTGTACCCTGCTCCCCTGAAGCCAGAACTGTTTGCACAGAACTTGACAGCCCAATGCCAAGATGCATGAAGCCAGACCCTAAACCCTAAACCCGTCCCGAAGATTCCCGAAGTTATTCTCTGTCAAACAGCGCTTTCGCTCATGGCTTAGTGTGGTGGGAAGTCACGACCGCTTTCACCCTCTCCTGTGCTCGCGACAATGACACCTACCTCGCTTGAGAACCCAACATGGGCGCGCCGGATGTGACGAAGGCACAATCGAGCCAACAAGCGGTTTTGCTTAGGGCTGGCTCCAGAGGTCCTGCTGACCCTGATGTGCACAATCCAATAGCAAGGATCCTCCTGCTGAGAGAGCAGCTATACTCTGAGTTGCTGCAGTTTGTATGCAATATATCATACTATCTTACACTATCCTATACTATACTACATTCTACTCTACTCTACAATACTATACTTTCCTATACTTTTAACTGTTCTATTCTATACGATAAAACACTTGGAACTACCACAATACAATATTCTATGTTATACCAAAAACTATGATATTTCAGCGGGTTCGTTGCACGTGCGCGAAAGCCAAGGATTCTTGAAGCACGCTGGCAGAATCAAAAGCCACGCCTCCGGAAGGAGACTAGAATAGTCCTCTGGATCCAACGTTAGAATCCGGCGGCCCGCTCTCCAGCACAAGCATGACCCACTCCATGCAACGTTCACTATGGAACTCAATAGGGGCCCTTTGTGCTTGCAGCACTGTTGGCGCAGATCATGCCAAGCGTCCCAAGCATCCAGGTCCAGCATGAACCCAAAGTTGGCGATAAAATCCTGCGCAACCACAGCCGGGCGTCTATAAGGTACATAATGATCGCTCGCTACATAAAACACTGGTTTGAATTTTCGAGCAAAAGCGGCCAAGGTCACCCTACTCAACTTCTGCTGCTCATTTGCGCAGGTGGCTCCTTTGTACCGAAGGCCCGAAACAGAGCCTGTCGTCAGTGTGATGGGGATGCTTGACAAGGAAGCCTACACTAGGTGGCTTTATGAGTAGAACAAGGTGTCGGGGTATGTTGTAGTAGTATCGTTCTCTTGAGGACCATAAGCTTTTCATTGTTGTTGATGATTCCGACCCCCATATCGGCCACTCAAAGAGCAAGTGTGCAATTCGTACATAGTTTTCCTTTATATAGATAAAAATATGTATATATATATATACACATATTATATGTATGTCAGCAATGGGTTGTGCCCTGGCTTGACATGAGCGGCTCTCGGACTACAGGCCACCAAGACTTGCAATGCCAAATCGAACTCCGGAGATCTACCCTGAAACAAAATCAACCTCTTTAGGCCCGTTTGGTCTCTGGAAGCCTGGGGGATTGATCCATGATTTAGGAAAGTGGGCCTGGAGGAAGGTTCGGGCGTTTGGTTTCGGGCGTGCGCCTTTTTCCTTGCTACGGGTCCTGTCAGTCCTAGTAATGTTAGAGACAGCGGCTTTCGACTAACAGACTCGCTCGAGGCAGGCACGGGTTCCAGCAAGAAGTCGCTTCACACGAGAACTAAAGGCGGATGGAAGATGCAGCAGCCAGCAATCCCCAAAGACAGCAAAGGTTTAGAGTTTCGGCACCCCGGTTTTGTGCATGGTTGCGCAGGGGCCACCCCAGTCTTCATCGTTCCCATATGTTACAGCTTTACCGGAGGATATAGTCCACAGTCTAAGGAGTTTGGGTCAGGTCGGGTATGTGCCACGGCGGCGGTTGTTGGGAAGGGCGGACGATCAGCTAAGCGGCGCAGTGAAAGACGATAAGTGCAGCCACCCGCTGCTGCTCCTGCCAGAGAAAGCGACTTGAAAGCCCGAGAAAGAGAAACATGCTGCCTTCACCCTTTGCCTCGTTGCTAGTTGGAATTTTTGACACTCACACTCGGACAAGCCAGGCAAGCTCTGCGGACAGACAAGTTCCTCAACGCACTGAATCCGACTTCGACTCACACACTCGCACAAGGCTGGCATGGCGTTAGGAGGTCTGAGCTGACTCAGGTTTCAGGTTTTCCCATAGGCCCCATAGTAGGTTCCTTTTTTGAGGCTCATATTTTGAATCCTATAAGGTAATCCCAAAACGCAGCTGGCAAGGCTCCAGGGTTTAGGGCTTAGGGTCGGTCCGTCGACCAGCTGCCGTCTCCGCCGTGCAGCCGAAAGGCCTTGAAAACTCGCAACTCATCCTGATCCTACCGGTGCCTGAGGGAGAGTCTAGTGTTTAGGGGGTGTGGAGGAGGGAAGACAGGGACTACAACAAGGGATTAAACGTTAAATAAGGGATACTATCGGGATCCACTCCCCCCTCCACCAGGTTCCGCGCAGGCAGAAGCTTGTGGACCATAAAGGGCTATGTAGTAGTTGTTTAGTAAGCTGTCCATATATGTATATATATATATATATGTAAATATATATATATATATATACACATGCGCATGTGTGTATGTATGTATGTATGTATATATATATATATACGTGTGTAATATTTATACAGAGAGAGGGACAGATGGAGAGAGAGAGAGAGAGAAAAAAAAAAACAACGACAAGCATACGCGACTCCTCAGCTGGAGGGGCAAGGGGCTTCAAGAGAGCATTGCTTCCTCGCTGCTTCCGTGTAGACGTTTAGTCGAGACCCCAAAAAGGGTTTTCCACAGATCGCCCCGTCAATCACTCACAGGCTTTTCAAGCCGGTCTGAAGCCAGATCACATGCCTGCGGAGATCTGCTGATCTGCAGTACACAGCACGCCAGTAGACCAGGATCCACTACTCTGCCGACACAAGTCAGCCACCATCGACGAATCGAGATAGTTGCTCGCCTCCAGAGCTACTGCTTGAACCTTCCAAAGATGACCGGCTAAATATAAGTGCTTCTCGAAAGTCGTGTCACGTGTCACAGAGTAGACCAACGAGCCCGCTTCAGAACTGACTATCAGTAGGGCTCATTCACTCCGAAACCGAGAGTCAAGCACGCAGCGCAGCCTCCAACATTTTCTTGCCAAGATTCATGTCCTGCTATCTGCTATCTGTCAAACAGAATCCGGCACATTGACATGTGCGGCTGGAGGTTAATGGGGTACTCCTGCCAGCGAGCGAGGAATGTATTGCTACATACTTCTACTACTGAACTACTACTACTACTACTACTACTACTACTACTACTACTGCGACTACTACGACGACGACGACTACTACTACTACTACTAGCACGACGACGACTGCTACTACTCCTACTACTACTACTGCT